CCTGCTGAATCCGACTGCAATCGCGATGAGATTGACCATCATGATGACGATGGGTGGGATCATGAGAGACGTCCATTTCACTATGTAGAGATCCGCAAACTCGTCGTCGTTATCATCACCTGCAGATTTCGACGTGAGAGTGAATGAGATTTCGATTCCAGCAATGACTTTGAGCAGACCCTGAAGAACAGCAGCAAGGTGAGCGCTTGTCCCTCCAATGAGCCAAAACTGCTCGTTCCTCCACCATTCTTCGAGCGAAATTCCTGACCATTTGATCTCAAGGAGGGCGAGCAAGCAGAGGGTTATGGAGATGATGAGAAGATAGGTGAGGAATGTCACGTTGAGGGTTTGGACAATGAACTGGCCAGAGAAGAGGGAAAGTGCAGGGAGGAAGCAGTAGACGATAAGGAAGATGGAGGTGAAAGGGTAAATCCCGACATTGAGGTAAGCAATCCTCTGAAGTATCTTCATCCTCGGGCTGGCGAGAAAAGCGTTGTTCCTGGAGAAGAAAATCTCGACAGAACCAGTAGCCCATCTGAGAACTTGATGAAGCCTATCTGTCAGATTGATCGGAGCAGTGCCTCGGAAAGCATCACGTTTTGTTACACAGTAAACTGATTTCCAACCTCGGTTGTGCATCCTGTACCCAGTGACCACATCTTCGGTCACAGACCCGTAAATCCAACCAATACGAGTTCCCCACTCAGTTTTGTCCTCATACCAACAAGAGATCACGGCTATGGCCTCTGCTACCGTCGATGCATCAAGAAGCTCACGGGGAATGGTTAGGGCACCGGGCGGGCGCCCATTCTTGACAGCCGGGTGATCTGCGAGTGGACGACCTTGGAACTCAGCAACCGGGATGGAATCAATGAGAAAGGTCGAGTTCCCGAACTTCTTCGGGATCAAAGAGAGATTCATCTCTTCATCATCCGAGTCCCCCATTCTCAGGGCTCGATTTTCCTCGGGGACATGAGTCCGCTTCTTGCGACGAGGACAGCAGCAACTGCAGAAACCAGGATGATGTTCCTTGGATCGAGGTGGGTCAAAACCATACAGTGCAATCCTTCTGAAGAGACAACCAGTTCCGACGTAAACAGGACCCATAAGGCCATCAAGAGCTCTCATGTTCACGTCGAAGAAGACAGTGTTGTGATTAGCATATCGATCTGACGGGTCAATACCTTCAAACCGTTGTGGGAACTGAACGTAACAGAGTCTGTCACCTCCTCGATCCATCATGAAACACATGCCTTCTCTCAGAGCCTGAGAGTTGTAGATGTAGTGGTCACAGTCAAGATTGAGTATGAATGGTCCATTGGACATGATTGCAGAAGCTCGGACCAGGGCATTCATGGCACCTGCCTTCTTGTTATGATCATAACCAGGACGCTTCTCACGGGAAACGTAAACAAGGAGAGGGAGACGAATATCCACTTCTGTCAGATCAAGAAACCCTTCAGATGTTCCATGCAATGGCTCATCACTCGGAGGCTTCAACATCACCTGTAATGGTTGGCATAAAGGCATGAAAAAAGAAACGGCAATGACAATATAACCAAGTTAAAGAAGTAATATAAATACCTGAATGATACCGGCATGGTCACTACGGGAATGGTCAGCAGAAGGATGCAACCAAGTTCCTGGCCAATGGGTACCATCAGCCATCCATGTGGCTTTGGGAATCTTCACCGGCTCTACAGGCTCATCATCTTGGTTCTGCCTCTGCATCTTCATGGCCTTGATTTCCTCACGAGCATGATAAGCATCAGACCGACGCCGAATAGAATCAGGCAGGCTGTTAATCCTAACCTTGAACTCATCATACTCACGCTTCACCCGTCTTCGATCCTTCACAAAATCGGGTTTGACCTTGTTCTTGTAGGGATCCCTTTTCAGGCTAAAGTAGGAATCAGGGTTCCTTGGCTCAATACTGTGTTTACGACAGAATGGGACCCACATGTTAGCAAAACTTGCAGCCTCAGCCATGGCTTCAAACGTAAGAAGCGCTCCTCCGTCATCAGAAACATAGCATGAGAGCTTCTCAACAGGATACTCAGCTGCTAGGATAGACAAGATGGTATTAGCAGTGACCAGAGGAGGTTCTTTCTCTGGATCTGCAGTAGAAACAAACACATCAACTCCAGGGAGGTCAGATTTCCCGGTCGGGTTGCTGGGTGTAGGTGTTTCGAACTTATCCTTGAGGACATTAAGGTCAGTAGCACGATTAACCGGGCATAGTTTAGGCAGCTGGTCAAGAAGCCAAGAAAACGCAAACCAGAGTTCGCAGACCACAGACATTCCCCACAGCCATATCGCATCATTGTTTTTATGCTTGATCCTCCAAGCCAAGAACAGTGCAAGAACCACAATCCGGATAAAAATTAAGAGCCTGTAAAAATTGATGAAAACACATTAGTGGATGTATCTGTAAGCACATGTTAAATGACGCTTTCATGCTAAGCTAAGTTTCACCTGTATGGACTAATAACAGCAGCAGGAATTTTCAACTTTCGAGTAAGCGGTCTCCAGGGTTTGCTCATCAGGTCCTGTGGCTCCACGAAATCCCCATCGCCGTCCTTACCGCTCCCGAAATTCCCGTCCTTTGGCCAGAAAGCGTTTCCATAACCATAAGTTCCACTTGTCTCAAACAACCACCTGTTGTGATCGAAATCCCCGGTTTGACTCCTCATCAAAGCTGACTTAGTTGACTTCATCAGAGACAGTCTTCTCTCCATCTTCGACATGCCTGCAGGCAGAGGAAGTGGAAGAGGAGGCCGGCCACTATCAGCAGCCAGGTCGCTCAAATCCGTGTTCCTGTAAGGCTCCTTACAGCCAGGGCAGATCCCACCACCTGTTTTGATGGCATCCACATAGCAATCCCTGCAAATTTTAAAATCACATTCACAGGGGAGAATATCTTGCCCCCTCTCGTCACTCATAACCTTTGCATCACAACCAGGGATCGAACAAGATGATCTTTTAGAACCAACCATCTGGGGATGACTTGCCTCTGATTCAATCACCTTGTCCATAAGATGAGCCCGTGTGGCACTGTTAAACCCGCCCGTGAACAAGGAGTTTGAAACGTACTGCTCTTCAACTTTCTGAGAGATTGATGGGTCCATGGGCTGGTTATCCGGGGTTGGTGGCATATGAACCGTATAGTTCATGAAATCAACACTGCCCAGTTCACTGTCAAGGTCATCCCTCGAGTAACTCACATATCGACCGGATGAAGTCCTCCGGGCAAATGTCACGGTCGGAGGGACAGGTGGCCTCCCTGCTTCAGCAGCATCAGAGTTAGTGGATAGATTGGATCGGCTCTGATTGAATTGCTTAGACGCCATTGTTTAACTCCACCCGGGCTTGTAGCCGGAAGATCCCTGAGATGTAATAATGCAACAAGTTAAGTTAATCAACAAAAGGACCTAATATATAGGGATCACAATGCTCAAGAACAGATCATATTGGAGGAAGTGGAATTTGTTGAAAACACCACAACCAACAGATCACCCACAGATCTACTCTTGATCAGCAACAAATCAAGAAATTGGCCATTAGAATGTGATAATACTCATCATACTCCACCAATCATGTAATTTCCAAAGCATCAAACCCATAAAAGACAACAATCATTGTTTCACAAACAGTGAAATGATAATCCGGACAGCATTCCCAAACTACACACCCGGAAGTGAACCTTGAATGTTACGACAGACAACCAAAACAAAAGCTCACACCTTTTAAGCTCTATACGAAATCCAAAACAGCTCCTTTCCAAACTTTCAAATCCAAGAATATCTCAAGAATCCCTTCTCATATTCTCTCATTCGTTAACCAAGAAACAGTACAAAAGAACAGAATGCGATCCTTTCACATTCCGACCACAAGACGATCCCAACACGAACTTATAGAAAAGAAGAGAAAAAAAACAGCTTCAGACCCACGATTAATACCTTGACAGAGAAAGGGAAACTAAAAAAAAAAAAAATCAGATCTTCCGCCTCCAATGTTTGAACAGAGAACGCTTCTTCTTCGTCTAACAAATTCCTCTGAAGGATTCAACGAAATCGTGCCATCCAACTGGCAATGTCATTGAGAGAGAGACATATATATACATAGATGTGGAGAGAGAGAGGGAAGTAGTCGTGACCAAATACAGCAGCACTGCCACTACTAATACACGTTATGATGGCAACCATAGCGCATTATTTTATTCCAAAAAACCATCAACACGAACAAAGAACGGAAGAGATGAAAAGATCAACGCTTCTTAATTTCTAACTGATGTAGAAAAATACAGAGGCGATAACGGCGGAGGCGGCGGAGGAAATCCGGCGAAGAAGAAGTGGCAGGCCACTCGCATTGTTTTTCCTTTCAGTCGCTTTGTTTTCTCTCCGGCTGGGGTTTTCGGACAAAAACGTGGAAAAAAAAATAGGGACAGGTTTCCTTTTCCTCTTTCAAATGTTTTGTTCTTATTTAAACGCTTCGAATAAATTATTTTTCTACACTTCTTGTAATAATATTTTGTAATAATATTTCTTTCAATGAACAGACTAAAAATAATCATTAATGATCTAATTTACTCAAAAAATTACCTACACTCAATTTATTTAAAAAAACCATTAACTATTAATTTTAAGCAAAAAAAAATCAACCAATTTATTAAGAAAACGTATTAATTTACCATAAAAATTCATCTTAATCCAAAAAACCATACTTTATATTTTCCTTTAAAAGTACATTTTCTCTTTTCTCTTGTACAATTAATTTATATACAAATTTTTTATTATATAATATTTCATTTATTAAAACTTTTAAAAATAAAAATCAAATTGATATTTTAAATTATCTCAAATATTAATAGATTATAAATAATGTTATTTTTTTTATAAAATTATAAATTTAACCAATAAAAATACTTAATGTTAAATAACAAATTTGTACAAAGGATGATATATAAATTATAGAACTATAAATATCACAATAAGAAATTAAATATTTGTACAGATTCTAAACATCGGAATATAATACATTTTATATAAATATTTAGTTTTTTTTAATTATTATCCTTAGAGTTGCGTAATATATATCTCACCCAAAATTAATAGAATTTGTAACAAGTTAAAATTAGATATATATGATGGTTATATTTCCTAAAATTAATAATGATAGGATTATATAATAGATCAAAGTAGACGTCTTTAAGGATAAAGATATAAAAATAAATTTTATAGTTATCGGTTTCTTTATAAATGAAATCGAAACGATGGAAAGTGGTATTTCGAGAGGAGGAAGGAAGGAAGAAAACGCGGACGCTAGGGGTAGTTTGGTAACTTTCAATGGGCTGTGTTATTCTTCTCTGTGATGAAACTGAGAACGTGTGTCCACAGGAATCACATTGCCTCGTCCGACGTGTCGTCAATCACGCGTATTTAATTTAAGCCACCTAATAATTATGAACATGGCAATATACGCAAAGTCACACGCATATGCATATGCATATGCATATGCATAAATATATACGAAGGCGCGTTTGAATATTTCTGCGTCTGGATTCCTCAAAAGCGTTTACCAAGCTGTTCCTGAAATGCGCCTTCAACTCTCTCTGGCTTGAAGCAGCACTAGTGGTTGTGTGTGTGTGTGTGTGTGTATAAAACATCATCTCTCCTTAGTCCTCTTGGGTTATTATCATTGGTTTCTCCATGTCTTTAACTTGTTCCAGTCCTCAGTTCTCAGGATTCCAGACATGAGAACAACCTAAGACATGTTTTGGCTTTTCATGGGTCGGTTCTCGATGTAATGTAACATGATCCCAGAGCGTTTACCAGACCAGTATCTACAAGACATGATATGGGATATGGTTAGTATTCTTCAATAAATCAAAAAAAAAAAAAAAAAGTAAGGCAAGAACTGAATTTGACTCTATCGCATCCTCCCACCATGTGAGAACTCCAATCCTAATTCAGCAGGACTCATTTTCATTTATGTTTACCCAATCATCATAAACAGGAGGATGGAAGCTTATAAAACGGGAATAGGAATAGGTTGTTTTGTTTGACAGATAAAAAAGGATGAAAAGTGAGAAGCATTTGCTAAACTTTGCATGAACCTTTGTGCAGAAGCACCAAGAGCTAATTTGATTACCTTCTTGATCTTCAGCCTGGTCAAATAATGGCAGAAGTTCCAATGAGGGCTTCAACGAAAGCCCACGACCACTGTCTCTCTCCCAGGAAATGAGGATAGCAACTGCCCAATTTCTGGAATACAAAAGCTACATACAACTCTTATGGACGATTAGAAGGAACAAGTGAAGTTTGTCAGGTCAAGATCAGAAATTGCCACTCGCCAAAAAGAAAATGAAAATGAATGAACGAGAAAAAAGAAAGATATTTTGCAGAGGAAAAGAAGAGGCCGATTCTTTCATCCCACCTGAATGAACATCTGAACCAATGTTAATTCAGAACTGGGGTACAAAATCCTCTAAAAGTTACCCCATAGCCTCCCATAATCACTTTGGGATCATAACATTGCCACATCATAATCAATGACAAATTACAGGCATGAAATGATAAAAGAAGCATATGTTTAAAAGAAAGAAACAGAAAACAAACAAGTTATTCAACAGCGTAGAGTATTACTATCTATGGGCAAATGGATCGAGGGACCTGGTCCTTAACCCAAGACAGGATTCAATGGATTGGGAACCGTAGAGTTTGGCCACCAACAATCACATCTGCAAATACTCCTTGAACCTTTCACAACCCGTTGCGACCTCCTCGTGTGGAGCTTGATGTTCATTAGTTTACCAGCTATCTGTATGTCAAGCAATGAATGCAAGAGAGCATAAACATACACAAATTTGCAGAAATACCAGACACTAGGATAAGATAAGTAGAATAATGACCTTGATGATGGTGAAGGATGAGAAGGTTTGTCGGGGAGGCTGATAATGTTTCAACAAGTATTGAATACATAAGGCAAATTTTATGGTGTACCCTCATACCATATTCGGTTTTAGCGCAATATCGACACTGGTCAAGTTAAAACTTGCTGGTATCATCAATTTTTAATGTACCATAGATTGCCAATGCCAATGTACGAGGTAGTGGTGTCATCCATTCACTAGATAATACGTACCATTCTCCATGTCAGGTCTTCTGGACCTAATGGCTGAGCTGGGTTGGAATATACGAAATGCCGGGCGTACTGGAAAAAATTGAGAATAACCATTTTAGTTACTAAAACACATTAAGAAGACGCTAGGAGAGTGGAAAAGTAAACTATGCAAACAGCTTCATATCATTTCGTAAAGTCGGAGCTCGAGAAGATTTAAAAAAGCATTTACTTGAGCTATGTTTTTCTGAAATTCCTTTATATGAGAGGGGGTAAGGCTTCTCAGATAATTTAGAAGCCACCCTGGCTGTATAGCATCACTGGAAGAAACAACCACGGCAATCTGCGAGAACAAAGGATAGACATGGAGGAACAATTAACAAATGCCAGCTCCATATATTCAGCAAATACACAAAAGAAAAGCAATAGAATTGCGTAGGAGCACATTTATCTCACGTTATAACATGAAACATAGAAGCAGCTTCCAGTTTTTATAGACAACTGAAGAGAATCTCCATGCAGAGCATATACTACTCACAAGTCACAATGCAAAAATTATGAGGCGTCAATACTTATTTCCTTCGTTTATTGCGTATGAGTTTCTCTTCTACTTTTAAAGATAATCCTTTTTATTTTTTGCCATATACCTTCTAGCATCATGCTAAAACATTCCACACATTTTGTACCTTGCATTTAGATTATCACCGTAAAGACAGAATTAAAAACTGGAGCGGGCAGAATAGATCAATTACAAAATAGACTTTTTCATGATGCACAATATTGCCACAACCATGAAACCCGAAATAATCAAGGAATGGAAAGTAAAAAAGCACCAATTAAAAGATCTCATAAGTTCTGTCATACCTTCCTGTAATCAAGTATTCCTTCAAAAGGAAATTCCAACTCATCACTGACTATAACAGGTATACACCCACTGACAATAGCATCAAACAATCTGGCAGACGATGGCGTGTCACCAGCAGGACACAAGCAAAAGAGGGATCTGATAGAGCTAGGCATAGTTAGAAAAAAAGATGACCAAAAAAGGAGACTCAAGGCAAAGGTCATGAGCATCTCAAACTTTACCTACGCATGCCGTTCTGAGAAGCCCATTTCCCTCCTTCTCCAGCAGTCCCTTCCTCAATTACAACATCCTTCACATTGCTTAGCTCCGCTCCGAGTTTGGCACGTATTTTCCCACCCTGAAGAACAGTTCCACAACTATATGTGTGAGAACACAGACATTAATTTTGACATCATAGAACAAGTTAGAGAACCAAGAATGCAACCTAGGTCTTCTTTCCCAGTTTCATAAAACATTGCGATTATATTTCAAGGGGAAGTTATTGTTCATTGCTGCGAAAAGCAAAATCACTTTCGGTGGTATCGAAAGCTAAGTCCTTACTGAAAGCACTAATGAAATTGTTAAGAGACAATTGTAAAAACAACCACCACACCACCTAACACATCTTAGATAAATTTGGAAAGCCCCACAAAACATGAAAATTCGAAGAAAGGGGGTAGAGTTAGAGATAGCATGACTCTCACAGCATTCCTCTTAAGCCGCCCTCGGAAAAACAGAAATGTGGTTCTCTTTGAGGAATATTCTGACAAGCATTTGGCATCACAGAGATCAACATTTGGGACATAAGGAAGAATTAGGTCTTTCTCCAGTGAAACTTGGCCTGGCTTGTACCTACAAGTTCAAGTTCAAGTTCAAACAGAGTTAGCGAACTTCAGCTTAAGAAGAAACTATATGACTCAAGATCGATTACAAAAGGATAGCTAGAGTCACCAGTTCCCAGTGGAGTCCATATCTGGTAAAAGCCAAATTGCCTTCTTGACAAACTTCCGTACTGACTTGAAAGACCAGGGATGGTGAATAGGAAATATGTGATCCCTTCCCTCAGACCTTTTCCATGCAGGCTGATCGGTGACCCATTTCAAAGCTTCCTACGGTGAGGAAATGGCCAGAAGAAAGAAATGGTTGTTACTGGTACAATCCCAAATCCATATTATTTATTTTCCAAATAACTTGAATCTACAAATAAGGCAAAGGTTGGCCTGAATCAACAAAGAACTATATTGATAAATCACATGCCACAGCTCATTCAAATGACACGAGATTCGGCTCAGGACAAATAGATCTCACCTAAGCCCCAAACCTAAGATGTACAAACAGCACACAAAAGGATCAAAAAGCGAACATCAATACTTCTTTAAAAGGAAACGAAATAAAAGGAAATAACCATCTAAAAGAGGCAAGGCATCAGTAATTTAAATCTTGGAAGCACACTCACACCCTATAAAGTTCTTTGCACTGCTGCTTCTCCAACAAGAAAAAGCTGATAGTAGTGAAAAATGGAACATAGAAAAAGTCTGCATCCTGCTGCTGATGGACCCTCACAACACTCTTCAAATGCCTTTCGGATTCAGGAGCAATCAGGTCAACCCAAAGCCAATAATCAATAGAATGCTGCAACATAAAAAAAACTAAACATATCAATCAGCTACCAAGTAGAAGAGGAACCATTAAGTGGAGCCACAAAGCATAAACTTCACTTATCCCACTGAAGAAAAAAGATCTGAGTACTATGAACAAGAATATCTGATATGAAATAGCTTTCTAAATACTAAATTGCTAATAGGAAGGACAAACATTCCTAATTCGAGTACCCAAATCACAGCCCGATATGGAACAAAGATTGAAGTAAATCCCATATTTTAAGATTTCCAGTTCGTATACCCAAATTGTGGCATTCCAAAACGTAGCCTTTTCTCTGAAACACGTTGAAGCAGACCCAGAAGAATTTCAAAATTCACAATTCACAGCCGGTGGATTGTATTTGGTTCGACATTGTCACAAAACTAAACAACACAATTACCTCGGAACAACAGAACACTGTAACGATGATCCACATGAATCAGAATCATTCGGGTTTCCTCTATGTCATGGTAGATTTAAACCAGCCCCAAAAATTTCAAATTCCAAGAATTCAACCAAAATCACAAACCTAGGAGTACGTAGTACCTGCTCGATCAGGCGATGCACAGGGCTACCATTAGAAGTGAGATTCGATGTCTCTTTGTAAGTATTGTGAAACAACCAGAGAAGATCGTAGGTAAACTTCTTCGGCATCTCGTAGACGTAAACCTTAATCGGAAAACTCAAAGGGTAGTTAGGATCGTCGTTCAACCACCGATTCTCCCTCTCAAACACCACCTCGTCGAACTTCCTCGCATCATCGTCACTCCCCGCATGAACCGTATCGTCCCTAATCGAGACCGAGAGATTCGGAGCCTTGTGAATCAGGAAATGCTCAAGCGAGGCGACGAAGGACGTCACCGGCCACGACGGCGTGCTCGGGTACGGACCCGAGGAGGGTCTGGTGGAGGAAGAGAGAGTGAAGAGGAGGATGACGATGAGGGAGAAGGCGAAGAGGGAGAGAGTGAGGATTAGGGTTTTGGATCTGGGCCTGGAGGAAGAATGATGAGAATGCAATTTTCCCGGCATTGGAAAGATCTGATCCTTGATCCGAATTCGATCAATTGTGTCGCTAGTTCCTCGCACTCCGAGAAATGAAAGTGAAGTGAGAATGTTAAAAAATATATATATATATAAAAAAAAAAAAGTGAAGTGAGAAAGTGGACGCGGTCGTTCCTTGGTTCGCACTGTAATCGGTACTAAAAAGGCAACATGCATGTGGTCAGCAACCGCGATCACGATTGCGATTGCGATCGCAAAAAAACGCGGTTGACAAGTTGGGATTGGACGTGGGCAGTGTGAATCCTTGCACATCCGAAATTTGCAAAGTCGAACCTTGGGATTCAAATCGGGGTTTCGTCGGACTTGGGCATAAAATTTGAGTTAAGGGGCCGGTGTCAAACATACCGAAAAATCGGATACCAAATCTACCCCTCTATGAAGAGTACAAGGGAAAGCGAAAACTTGAAGATAAATCTGTTTGGATTACCATTAATTTATCTTTATAAACCCAATCATACATCCAAATCCGGAAAAGCCGATTACTTACAGAAAATGCACATAAAAACATATTCAGTCAATGACGAAAACTCATAGAACAGTTTGTCTCCATATGTTTCCCCACTTTCTTCCATTGAAATATCTTAGAATCGGATAAGGTCGTCGTCATCCTTAGAAGACTGCTGCTTCTTCTTCGGGTCGTGACCAGAACCAGAAACACCGCTGTTCTTGCCGAATATCATCTCGTCGAGGTCGTCCATCATGCCATCGGCATCAGCATGTGTGCCGCCTCGAGAACCAGAGGGCTTTCTGATCAGTGACGGCTCCTCTTTGGCATGAACCGGCGAGTCAGAGTCAGGTTCCACCGCCACAGGTATCATCGCTGGTTCAGGTGCAGTTGGTGCCGCACCAGAAGGCTTCTTCTTCATCTCTTCGTACTTGGTCATCGTTTTCTGGATCTCATCATTCACGTTCAACGCTTCGAATAGAAGGGCTTCGTTCTCTCCAGCCGTCTCGATGATTCGTTGAACTGTGGTTTGGGACTCGCGACATTGATGTACAAGTGTTATTGTCAAGTCATCCTGCCAATCACAACACCGACAAAAACCCGTCAATTTGATTGTAAATCACTATCACCAGTGGCGGGATTACTATCTTTGGCTTATCATCTCTAGAGACTTAAATGCTGAGTATCAACTGAAGAGCACAGATAAAGCGGTCAAAAACATCACACAAGTATTATCTTTGACGACTTCTAGTTGCAAAAAACTTCAATATCGTAACAACGACAAGTAGAATCATTCAGAAAATAGGCAAGATTTTTGAATCAGGCTAAAAGTATAGATGTAATCAATGCTTGTCTCAAGTAAAAACATCAAACATATTTGATACAGACACCCAATAAGAAATCCAAGTTCATAGTCATCAGGGTAGGAACATAATAAAAGAGAATCGTCTATACGTTGCAAGGAAAATTGTGCCCAACAACAATTACAGAGATTTACCTGTAAAGCATCCAGTTGAGGTGAAGAGGACAAAACCGTGGAAAGAAGCTCAATGCTGTTCCTTGCTACATCAAACGCTTCCTTTGTCTGCTCAGCAGTAAAGCTTATAACTGGAGGAACATCATACTGCACGTTCTGTGGAACATTGGCATCCATTTCTGGGGCTGTAGCTGAACGAGGAGGAGTAAAAATAGGCGCCAAGCTCTCGTTGTCACGCCCAGGAAAGCGTACTCCTCTTGATCTTAAGCTCTATGACATAGAAATTAAAAGCATAAGAAGATGAAGACTTTATAACTGATGCTTGCAAAAAACCTTGCCAGTTGGGCAAATTAATAAACAACCATATAATCACGAGATACGGAGACAGAATCCCCAATGTTGAAGAAACCATATACTTCGTGAACATGTCACAAAGCCAGGTAAAGGGATGCACGAAAATAAAAATATTAACTACGAGCGTAACATGTTCAGACCAGGTTAAAATAACAGCAAAAATAGAATGCATTCAACATAATTACGATAACTGGCTCCAACCTGTTTTATTCAGTAACACAACAGAGGATGAACCAGGGTATAATTCCATTAGGTAATGGCACCAGAAAATAATCAGTAAATCATAAGGTTACCTTATAAGTTTCTTCGAAAACTGGTAAATAGCGAAGTTCACTGGTCGATTCCCCCCAAGCCTCAACCAGCATCAAAGCTTTGTTCCGGTTATTGACAACTGTTTGCGGATCATCTATCAGCTTAACCATTTCATCAAGGACTCTTTCTGCTGCCACTTCAGAGAATGCCTTCTCACAGTTCTTAACACATGTCTCTAGCAACACCAAGGCAAGGTACTGAATTCTTGGCTGCTTCATCATAATCCTCTTCTTTATTCCACGGATCAAGTCGACACTATTAATTTTTTCATGATTGATCATATCACATAATTCCAAATTCAAAGCCCAATCAGGTTCCTCTAGATTCTCTGATGTTGCATCCTCGACTAGTTTATCGGCTGGGTTAGGACCTTGAAAGAGTTCCTTCACTTTGAAGCTCATAGAGGTCATACCGGCACTGACTTTCTTGCTCATTTCAGTGCCTCCAATCTTGAGACGCTCGCCAAATGCGCTAACTTTGTCCATCAGATTGTCACTCATCTTTGACAATATTCAAACCTGGGATGCATAAACATCAACTTATCATTGTGCAGCATGGCAGGATGGTGTAAATGAACATACAAAACAAGGTAATGATTCTCTCTTCTATTTCACTCACACCATCGCGAATCTAGTCAAATTGGATCTAAGGACTTCATGATATTCAGATCAAGGGGCCCACCCAAGCCCAGTAAAGAATTTGTAGCGTGTGTATCAGGGATCATGTTAAGGTTAAAGGTCTAACATCAATACAGCCAATTCGAGAGGTTTATGACGAAATACCCAGAAAACTACGACCACAGTGTTGAAGTTTTCATCGAGTTCCGACAGTAAACCTATAATAGGTTTCACAGAGGCTCGATCTCACGCATCATACAAATTTCCTCCAAGTCTATCAACACGAGTATACTTGAATAATCAAGCGACCAAATTTCAAGAAGGGAAGAGACTATTCAGCCAAAAAAACTAACCAGTTATGGCCGACGAAGCTAATTAGGGTTTTCGTACGAAACCAAATTCGACAGTGATCTTCAGCAATCGGAATACGTAACACAATGAAACCTGAAAAGTCTCTATGATCAACTTAAATCCCAAAACGAAAAGAAATCACCATCATCAAAATACCTAGAACACAAGCGAAATGCACGGAATGAACATGAAACGACAACAAGAAAAACGAAGTTGCTCCGGCACGAGTAGCGGACAACAAACTTACCTCCGGAACACAAACCCCGTCTATCGAGATGTGGATCCGTGAACCAACGATCTGGTAAAAACGGCGGTGATAGAGGTAGAGGAAGCGAGAAGCGTAGTCAATGCCGTTTGACAGAGGAAAAAATGATGAAGAACAGAGACGAACACGCGTGAGTTGATGTTTGGTTACGCGGATAATTGTACCTCGAGCAGGTATCATTTTTATATCCGGTTTAAGAAAAAAAAAAAAAGACTTCCTGAAAATGAGTAAACAGATTTCTAATGATGTGTACTCAAATTTCGTTGGTGCAATATAGTTATCTGGTTCATTAATTTGTATATTAGGTTTTAAGAGCTACCTGACAAGTAATATTTCTCATAATAAAATGTTAGAAATGACAAATATTTTGTATTTTATCCTGTTAAATTGAGTTTTAATAGGCCAAATAAAAAAATGAATTTAAAATGGTGTAAATTAAAGAAAAGTATAATTTTGAAAATAGTTACATTATTCTATGGATTATCAAACTATATAAAAAAAAGACTACAGCATAAAATCCTGAACAAATCACTCCACCTAATACCCCGTTGAGTATACGATTATCTTCGTCCCCAAACACCAGGCGTCGAATACATTGTCTAAAGAACGGCCGCTGCTCTGACCGTGTCGATTCTCCATCTTATTGTTTTCAATTGGTGGCAAAAAGGTTACTTCTTTATGAACTTTTCGAACTCGATCGACTTCGCTTTTCGCACCATATTACATATTGATATTGCACTTCGCATTTCTGATTCCCCATTCCTCGTAGATCTGTGTTCGCTATCAAAGTTTGAAACTTTTTGATTAAATTTCGATGGGTGAAGGACAGTAATCGATTTACGGTTTCGTTGAGAAAACCTAATCAGTTTCTACCCTTTCCATGTTTGGTGAAGTTTCTGCTCGATCAATCTCTTTGTTCGGGGGTTTTTATGTGGTAACCCTTTGTGTTCATTTATCAGTTCAGTTCATCTTCTCTTTGCGTAACTAACAACGCTTACTCTCTTCAGATTCCCAATTGGGTGTCTTATTCGTTTTCTAATCTTGCAGGTAGTTAGTTGATTTCCCTCCACTCTAATTCTGAATTTGTTTTGAGGATATCAGTTGGGTTTTATCCTGTCTCGAGGGACGATGGATTTGACGTGGTTGAGTGCCCTAATTGTTGGAGCGGCATTGGGATACTGCATTGGCACTCGCCGTCCTGCCCGTATCTTTACGTCATCCAAGAATGTGGCGAAGAACGTAGCTGCTGCAGGCGGGAACAAGAAAAATAAATCCAAGGAACCCCTCGAGATAGAGAAGCTGGCTGATATTCTTGACGATTTCAAAATGGTTTTAGCATTTCTTCATCTCTCTGTCTCTCTCTCTTAACGAGAGCTTAAGGAGTTGAAATGACTTATTATTGTTTTTTTTTTCTGCAGGTTTTGGTTGTGAGGAATGATCTTAAAATGGGTAAGGGGAAGATTGCAGCTCAGTGCAGGTGAGTTTCTCCTTTTTCGTGGGAGATTGCTTCGTAGCTTGCATTCTTTAAGTATTGCTATTGTCTTGTTCTGATTTTACGTTCTCTGTTTGCTTTGTCCTCCAGCCACGCAACTTTAGGTTTATACAAAAAGCTCCTTCATCGGGCGCCAAGGGCATTAAACAGGTGCCACAAAGCATTTAAATCAAAGTCCTCTTTACTTGATATAGAATAGCTTAAACAAGTATGGATTCCTCCCTAATGCAGATGGGAGGAATGTGCTCAGCCAAAAGTGGTGGTGAAAATCGAGACTCAGGAGGAGATGCTAGTTTTGCAGGTGAGTTTGTTTTTGCTCAATATGCATTATAATCCGTACCTGTATTATAAAAAAATTTATGTAACTGAGATTTATTTTGAATTTGGATCCACGGCCTCAGGCCGTTAAGCAAGTAGTCTTTGCAAAAGTTTCAGGGGTTGATTTCTGAAACTTGAATCTACATTGCTGATGAAATCTCAAATGATACAGAGAATATGCAACGAGAATCATGAGATTCCTTAGATATTATTTTTCAGATGTTCTGTTGACTCCTTTCCTTTTCCATTATCGCAAAATTCTTCTCTGACATCTTTCTATATCCTCATCCTCGGGATCCTGTTTTGTCAACCATCTTTTCATCTACCATGGAATAGTGTCATGAGTCATGACAAGAAAAATTCTTGCAATCTCTCTTTTTGGACGCTCTGTTGATAATTTTCTGGTATTCCACTATGTTATTTATCTTCTAACAATGCTTCCAAAATTGACAGGAAAGAGCAAAGTCCCTTAAACTACCGACCCATATCACAATTGATGCCGGAAGAACACAAATCGCCCCGAGTAAGTTTCACAGTTTGCTTCCTATGGTGCACTGAATTTCATTACATGATTACTTTTTTGCATTATAAGAAATTAGTTAAAATTGGGAAAAGGATACTGAATCAGAACCCCATCTTATTGTTCAGGTTCATTTGTTCTGGTCATTTCTGAACATAATAATATTCAGAACTGGAGCAAGAATGTTCTTTTATTTCATGCTCAACAGTGTTGTAACTGGCATTGTTTAGCTAAGCCTTGTGGAAAAAAAAATCTTTTGGATAGAATTGTTCAAACATTTCATGAGGACCATTTACTGAAAAATATGAATCTTAAGTTCTAACATGCTTGTATATTGTGTTTTTGTTCAGATTCAAGGACAGTTATGGCGATTCTTGGTAAGTTCTTTATGACCCTCCATGTCTGTGGGAGATAAGGCTCCGATGAATTCAAGAATAGGAATTAGTAGAGAATCCAAGCACGAAAATTGAAATTTGGCTGCCATATTTGTTACCAGAAAGCTTCATTAGCATGACATTACTGTTACCTTGAATGTTTTATTTGCGCAGGACCTGTTGAAGTTGTTGATGATGTAACTGGTGGATTAAAGCTTCTGTAGGGACTTTTGGACTCGGGTTTTTAAAGAAAAATTCAACTTGATGGTCCAAATGCGACAGCAGAAGAGAAAGATATTAACTTTCGGATTTCTCCTCCTGGACCCGAGAATCTGATTCATTTTTCGAACTTTCTGGTAATTTACCATGCTTTCCATTTCTGCTGCTGCTGCTGATGATGATGATGAAAACAAATCTGATTTACCGGTTTTGAAGCTTCTATTCACTTTTCTTCTTCTTTAGGACTGAATCTTTGAGTTGGTTTTGGCTGATCTAGGCAATTCAACAAACAGCTTGTGGGTATAATGTGACTTCTATATTATTCACCAAAAACAAAAACAAAGAATGGTGTATAGAATATGCTTGTATATTTTGTCCTAATAAAACATGCAAAAAGATTGTGATTTGGGATCGATCTGCAGATGATTACGAGAGTATCATTACCGATCAGCTTCGTTTTGTTGTGTTCCAAGTACTTACTACCACAATCCAAATGAGAGTTCGGCGAATTCTTCCTCTCCAATCTGACTCGTCCATTCTGCAACTTCGCATTCCTCTCAAATGGAGAATGATCTGACATTGGTGGAGATGTGGAGAAGAGGGAGGTTTTGAGGTACTGCTGTGGTTTTTCTTTTTCCGGTGATGGTGGGGATGAAGTTCCTGGCGGAGCATGCCGAAGTTGCCGGCGGTGAGAAATCGGGAAACATGGCGGGTCATTTCTGTATTTTTGAAACGGCATTGCTGCTACGGCACGTAAAACGTTAAGACGTAGCGACCAGCGTTTGCGGCTGCGTTAACGCCAGCGATTGACGTTTGACTTTATTTGGTTTTGTTCGGTTCTCTCTTCTGTTTGGTTTTCTTTAGTTTTTTGGTAAATTTGAATTTTTAAAAAAAATGCTTCTCGTTAAAACAAATTTTTAAGCTTCGGTTTAGATTGGGTTCCGTTTTTGCTATAATTTTTTTTTTATTTTCAAAAAGGAGTTACTCTTCGGTTTTACCGAGATAAATCATAAACCGTGCAATGTTTTGTTCCGGTTTCATTCGGTTCGGTTTAGCAAAATTTGATTCGGTTCGGTTGGAAAATTTTCCCGCCTTTTTATGTGGTCACTTCATATTCCCAAGCACAATTTTTCTCTCTCTAAAACACAGTCCCTTGTTTGTGTCGATAGCAAAACCTCTTCGAATTTTCCAGGAAAGTAATTAGGAAAAGCCAAATGGGGCGGAAGAGTAGACGGAGAGTGCCGGAGATTCTATGGAGAATGTACGGAACCAGAGCAAGGCCGTTAGCGGACACAATCATAGATCTGATTCCTTGTCGGAATATCCAGACGGAGGAATGC